GCCAGACATTTTGGTCATTCCTTGTCAATCTCACACCAAATAAGCCTGGAAAGTTTGTAACTTTGCTAATCTTTCTTAGCTAGCTTGTAATAAATTACATTGTCCAATGTATATATGCAGTATAGCCTATATCATGTTGTGAACAACATTTTTATTCGATTATGCACATTTCCACAATTAAACTCTTAAGTAAACACTGTGGCTTATGTGGGTTAAAAATGCAAGCAGTATTTTTGCAAAACTAAAACTCAAAAACACTCAAAACTTGTCATTCATTTTCTGTTATTCCTTTGTAATGATAGTGTCCATCTCTGATGTCAAGATTAATCATATTTGTCTAAAATCATGTAAAATTACTCCACCTTCTCAGTCGACAAGGTTCTTTCACTTCTGAAGTTGTCTTTGCCAGTTCTGTGTCCTTCAGCTTTTCAACAAATGCATGTGTACAGCTGTTAATGAGGTGGGCTCAAAGTATGATTTGTATTTATGACAAGTGAAAAGTGAATTACGCTCCGCAACTGTAGGGGGACCCCAGTAGCAAAAAATACCACTGCTCAGCTAATGCTGCTTAAATTTGGAATGGGAAATTCGAATAAGAGTAAGCTTCATCGAATTTCCCAAGTCATTTGTCTTGTACATGCATCCTGTATACTTGTGCTCGTGACCATCAGACACTGCTAGAATTTGGAAAATATTGAAGTCCTCATCGGTCTAGCATCCATGTTAGACTAAGGCTAACCCCAAAAGGCTGGTCATTCCTTTATGTGCAAAAGTGCACTTTTATAAGTTCATGTTAACTTTTATTTATCATGCACCGTTCCTGGCAGAAATTGATTTGAATAGAAGTTATTAATCCTAGTCCGCGTATTTTCTCTAAATTAACTTGCATCATTTAAAGGACCCATATCATACCATATTTCATTTAAATTTTTTCACCTCAATTTATAACATTTTCTTGGGTGTATGAACTAAAATCAGTTGTAATTCATTTTTATATGACCATTTTCCGACCTCTATTTATGTGTCTGGTTCCATTGACTGACCTTAAAAGTAAAGTAGGTTTTTTCCTTTTCCTGTAAAGTTGTAATTTTGGAGATATAAGGTTTTCTTCCGACAACTAGGAAATAGTCTTTGTTCTTTTTGCATCTTTCTAGTATGAGACAACACACTATACTTTGCTCATCCTCAGTACACAGAGCAAATAACAAAGAACAATAACCTGACCTTCTGCTTCTTTTCATGCCTGGTCTTTGTTGGTAGGATATTGCAGTTTAACACGTTATATATCCCCAGCCTGCTACACTAATCAACAGTAATTGAGAATCTGTCAAGAAAGCAGCCATTGTTTTGTTTTGGATTGATTTTTGGTGCCATTTTGGGTGGGAGAGATGCAGACAGATAGGAGCTAAGAGGTGATGATGAAATAAATACCAGCAGATGATTGAACTACAACACAGAGCGATACAGAGAGACAGCCACATGAAGCGTTTGTTGATAGTAAATACCATCTGTCCCTTCTGTGGTGTGTGCAAGTGTGTATATGTGCAACAAATGAGAGTCTGTGTGTTTCACTTTGTTCAAAACAGTGCGTATGTGTGTGTTTGTGTTCCTGCCTTTAATTGCGACAGGTATGTCACTTTCCAAATGCCATCAGTGGGATCTTTTGTCACACTCTTTCCCTGCACCTGTTAATTTGTGACACCAGCTCTGTGGTTGATGAATGCTTTTGTTCGTTTGCTTCAGTAAAAGTTGCAAATATCACTTGTAGTGTTATTTACTTTATAGTTACACACTCCCCTCCCTTTCTGTTTTTGTCTCTCTCTCCTTCTGTTTCTTTTACTTAGTTCAGTTTTCACTTCATGCTGATAGTTCAATCATGCTTCTTCATTCTCTGTAAGCTCAAAGAGCAAAGGATGAACTCCATTGCTGTATATTTCACTTGTTTTAAATATTAAATAAAATAGCTATGTTTGCGCTGTATACATCACAACCCCTGGTTCCTATCATCACCAATGTAAACAGTCAGTAAGTTTCTCTATGGTGCACCGTTTTGCATCAAACCACTCTGAATAACATTTTACACTGTCACAATTGATTTTGAAAGGTCAGTGAAATGTTGGAAAATCAGTGAAATTCTGCTTCAACAATCAGTGTTGGGTGAATTTAGATGTAGCCTACACTCAGCACTCAGTCCCATTTCACTATCTAATAAGTTTAAACTAAAATCCAAAAAAATGAAAAATATTGTGGGTACTATTCTTTACTTTGTGTCTTTTACAGTTTTACAGACGATCCTTCAGTAAAGTCTTGTACTCTTAAAAGTGTTATTCTGATCAATGCCTGTTAACAGTTATCTGAGGTGGTTGTTAAACAAAGCCAGGTTCTTATGTAGGGCAGACCAGGCTGTACAAAGTGCAGAGCCTATATAAAAAATCTGATGTTTTATGAATTGTTTCATAATCTTTCAAAAGAGAATGATAATGCATCTAAGAATTAATTGTTTTTGCAACCTGTATCAGCCGCCAGCATTTACTAGACGTTTTCATACGTAATATAATCAAGAAACAGCAATTGCAGTTTTATTAGCCTATATTAATAGCTGTGGAAGCTGTGGCTGGCCTAATGGCATGTTGCTTTTATTTAGCATTTATCAACTATTTATCATCAGTTAAGGCTACTATAACTAACTGGGTTAATTTAACCCCTGTTTGATAGTTATGCCAAAGCTTGTCTTTGAAGTGAACAAGGGCATCATACATAAAGGGTTAACTTTCCGTTGCAGCATTTTGGGTTGCACCTTGCACAGGATGCTAACAAGCTGACATATATAGTACGCGCTTTCTCTGCATGTTTTCAAGCTGCTGCTAATTCAACGTTACTGGACAGCTTAACGTGTTTGGAGTAGAACGCTAACTGCCATGTTGGCCAGCATCACACTGAGTGATGGAGAAGAGGAAGAACCATCCTTCTCTCCCAGAGAGAACAAAGCCAGTTATGCTCTCTTGGACTCCTGGCTACAGATGACTTGGGCATCACTTAGGATTGAACTCCCGACAATAGGGCAAAAACACAATTGCGCCGATCAGAAGCCCCACCAGATCTGTGAGCATGGCTAGCATATTTTGGGGGAACCACTATCCTGTTAGCATTTGCTTGTAGTGTGTATCACTATGACTCACATGGGGTAGAAAGGTAACACTGCTTTATAAACAATAGCATGAGTCATATTGAGGCTAGCCCGTGACACACTCATTTAACACGTGCATTCAGTTTATGATGAGCTTTTAACAAACCTTTAATGCATAATACGCTCCCCCCTTTGCACCTTTATAGACAGAGGCAGCACCTCCTGTTAGTTTATTAAACCATCTTTCACTCTGTGCCATTAAAAACTGCATTCAAGTGTGAATCATCAGCATTTTCGTGATAATTGAATGTTTATGAAATGGTTTCATTTCTAAAATCTGAGCCTTGTTTGAAGACCTGCAAAATACTTGATATAAACAAATCGGTTAGTCTTAATCAGAGTAAAATCTCTATAATGGTGTGTGTGTATGATGACAATGAGAGTATGTTTAGGATACAACAGGAATTTGACTGAGTTGCTATGAGTAGCTCTGGTTAACTTGATTGCTTGGTAGATATGCAGCCAATCGTGATCATGAAATTGTAGCTGTTTTTATTGTCTGCTGTTTTTGATTTACTGTGTGCAACTGTTAAAATACGAGACTAAAGAGGCAAATTAGCTGTCTTGCTTTGTAGCTCTCAGGGCAGATATAATAAATAAACATAATTCAGCGCTGCCCTCTAAACGTGTTTTAGCACCAGTCAGAAGTTTTGTTGTTTTTGTAAGAAACATGATGTGCCTTAGTAAATGCATATTCAGATTTCTCTTACTTAAATGCATTTGCCTTAAACCAACTATCAACTGTGGAGAATAATTGCATTTAGGCCAAATAATTGCAATCAGATGTTTATGTAATAACTGTGACAGGCCTACATGCTGGAGATGTAGGCGTGTGTCGGTATGAAAGATTTTAGCATGATGATTACCCAACATTTCATCACAGTTTACAATATCATGATGTAGCATAAAAAAGATTTTTTTTTAAGTATATTTTTAATTTCTTTAAAAAATCTTCTGAATATGTTATGTTTAAATAGCAGTATTGTGCAATATTTACAAAAGAATTATAGATAAATATAAAAACACTGTCCACATATTGATGCTCACTGTGTATCAACACCATACAGTACTATTAGCAGTTAGGACTGGAGAACCCTGCCATAGAGCCTTGAGAGCTTTACTAAGAACTTTGAAGTTGCTCCAACAAAGTGTAAACATGAAAGGTATAAAGTACCACCATGTACATGCCATGCCAGTCATTATAGTCCAGTGCTTAATGTGGAAACCTTTACTTTGAGTAGTCTCAGTTTATCAAAATAACCTTTGAGAATAATGCTAATTTCTGTGAGCTGGAATTTGAGATTTTCTGTTATATCTCAACATCAGGCTAACAACAGTGGACCGTTTTTTCTTCTCCAAGCTGAGTAGGGTGCGAGTTTTCACCTTTTGAGGGTGAAAAGTTCTCTATCTGCTCCTCCTGCCTTGCTGTGGATGTATGCATGTTTTGATTGTTTACAGGCTCTGCCATAAGGAGGGTCCACATCACATGATCATAAGGTGACAACACAGTAGGAGTTTGTCTGTGCGTCTAATTTGCTCTTCTAGAAAAAAATCTCTGGTGAAACTGCAACTTGCTTGACTACACCACAGTAACAGTTTCCACAATAACATAATAACATTACCATGCTGGTTCAGTAGTGGGTATATCAAATACCGAACTCCATGTCTGTGGAGATGGTATGGCATTTTTAAAGGAACAGTGTTCTTTCTGCCTTGTTTTATGAAGATGATGGAAAGCTGTTATGCTGTCATGTACATGATGATGATGATGATGATGATGGAAAGTGTGTTTGTGTGTGTTTGTTTGTTGCAGACATGGCTCGACGCTGGTGTACGTTGGAGGGTGGCTACCTCAGTTACTATGAGAGTGAGAAGAGTGCAACAGCCATAGGGAGAGTGAACATTAAAGAGGTGGTGAGCCTGGCCATCAGCAACACAGAGACCATGACCGGAGCAGGGTACTCTTCTCTTCTCTTCTCTACTCTTTCGTACACTTCTTTTGTCTAGTCTACTCCACTCTTTTGTACTCTTTTCTACTCTTCCCGCTTCCTGTTCTCGTATCTTCCTGTTCTCGTATCTTCCTCTTCTCTTCTCTTCTCTTCTCTTCTCTTCTCTTCTCTTCTCTTCCTCATATCAATACATGGTGTTTGACCACCTTGCAGAGGTCATAGGTTATAAAAACATTTCATCTGCCTTCTCTTAACACACCTACACAGCTCAGTTTCAGCAGGAGCTCTGCTGTAAAAATATCCTCTTCCCCCAAACAGCATGGAGCATAGGCCACCACTGTAGCAGCCATTAAGAAAGTAACCTTTCACCTCTCAGTGCATTCTCTAGTGTTATAGTCACCTGCAGTAAGAGCAACGGACAAACAGAGATTAATAGCCGTCCTCTTTCCCTTCACAGGTGTGTGTGTGTGTGTGTGTGTGTGTGTGTGTGTGTGTGTGTGTGTTGGTGTTCATTCTGTAATTCTCTCTCCTCAGGGCAGTGTTCACCTTTGAGATCTACCTGCAGTCTGAGAAAGTGCTCATGTTTGGAGCAGAGACTTCAGACACACAACTAGACTGGGCCCACGCCATCACTAAGGTTACACACACACACACACACACACACACACACACACCTGCAGTACAATATGATGTAATATAGTATTCACTTCATGTTAGTAAGTAGTGAGCTGATTTGAATATTCCTTAAAAATCATCTCTTCTCTTTTCTTACAGAGACTGTTTCTCAATTCTTGTCTTGCCATCTTGTCTCATCTTCTCATCTCTTCTATCCTCTTCTCCTCTTCTCTTTCAAAATTGTTTTTATTTTAACAGACATTTTGTGATTCATTTAAAGTGTACTCTAGCTCAAGGTTACACCTACTGTCTACTCTTGGGCCTCTGTTATCTGTTCTTAAAGTTGGATTACAAACAGTGGGGCCAAAACTCTAGTGAGGAAGGGCCAGGGGTACTGAATTATTAGAACTAGGTACTGCCCATAGCCCATGTTTAACTGTAGCAATGCACCATTTTTACACCTCACGCCCACCATAAAATTGATGTCACATTTTTATTTCTTGGTGCTTATAATTGAATCTCGAATGCCTCTGTATGTGCATTAGGCATTTGGTCCCCACCCCCCAGCCCACTTGCACCCCTCATCAAGACACCGCCAACATGCTGCTAGGGCCTTAAAAATGTGTTTAATGCAAAGAATGTCCTCAATCCTTCAGAACATCATTTCTGCCTTTCTATTAGTCCAGACAAAGCAACAGTTGATGATTTAAAAAAAGAGTGTGTGTTTATGGGCGAGAGTAGCATTCTACATCCTCTATTTGCATCTGACTTATATAGAGAGGTGTCAGTGTCTGTGTGGGAGGGTTTTTCTAGCGGTGAGGTTTTGGCTGCTAAATGTTGAATGAATGTTTGTCTCTGTCCACCCACTCATACTTAAAGTTCTAAGAAAGCAATGCAACACCAGGGTTACCTAGAGTTCTTCTCTGCTAGTAAATGTCTGAAAATGGCTATGCCTGGCTGTGTGATCAACTCAACTCCAGAACTCATTTTCCATCAACATATTCTGTTGGTATCTATTGACTATTACTTGACCCCACTATATTTCTGTCTGTCTGTTCCTGTTTCTCTTTGTCTTTTTTAGTGTTTTCTCCCTGTGAGGGTGGAGTCTTTGCTGAAGAAGGACTGTGAGCTTGTTGGTCGTTTGTACTACAAAGAGGGTCATGACCTTTACCACTGGCGAAAGGGGTGGTTTTCTTTGATCGGCTGTGAACTGTTCTTTTGTCCTGAAGACGAACATGTAACCGAGGGGCTTCTACAGCTCAAACGGCTGCAGGAACTCAGTAAGCACACACATACACACAAAGTACAAGAGAAAATCTGTTTCAGTGATTTTTAAGTCAGAACACTTTTTGTAATAATTGGAGAAAGTCTACTCATATTCTGGCAGCTGTCAATGCAATACATGATCAGAAGATAAAATTGTGGCGGCCCCAGGCTCTGTGAACAGGAGGAAGAAATGAAATGGACACCCAATATTCAAGCAATCAGGACAAGGAGGTGTATCTCTCCTGCTTATCAATCATGTTGTGAGTCTCCAGCACATAGTGGGGAGCCAAAATAGAGAATCGCAAACTACAGTCCTGTGCAAAAGTCAGAGACCATCTTTTATTTATTTAATTTCCAGTCAAAATGGCCATTTAGAGCAAATTATTCATTTTTAGCATCAGGAAAACAGCAGAAAACATGTAGTTTTTGTATAGTTTTCATTCATTTCAGGAGACTTGTTAAGAGTTTTTCAAAGAAATCTGCAGGAATATATCTCCGACACTGCAAAGTCTTAGAAGTTGGTTGCATTTTCTTCTTCTCATGATCCAAGTAATGAAATTATAATTGTGAATTCATCAGTCCACAAAACATAACAGATTTAATGACTAGCACATATGCTAGTACCAAAATACTGTTAGACACAAAAAATAAACAGTGTAAACAGCAATGCCTGACAACAAATAAAGTATTTGACGCTACCTTTCTTTTACCTTTCTAAGAAAATAAGCAACTTCAGCATCACTTTGAAGTTCTCTGTCCTTCATGAGGGCTTTCCGACTGGAAAAAACAATGCGGATGTTTACTCTGGTTCTTTGCCAACACTCGTCTCTTAGTTTTTCTTCCTTTATCCTTTGTTTATTTAGCATTTTTTTTTAAAACTCTGCCTACTGTTACTTGCAGAGTAAAGAGTAGCGACGATCCTTCATTATTTTTTTTTTTCAGTATTAACCCTTTAAACTCCCAGGCTTATTACATGCTAAGGCATATTATTCAGTAACTACAGGGACTTCAGGGCAAACTAGCTGAGCTGTTCTAAAGTTGTAGAATTGTGTAATAAAACTTTGAGCCCGCCAGTGGGCCTTGGCCTTTTAAGGGCAACACGCAGCTCACCTGTCAGGTACTGCATTAAATAACCTATGTGAAAGTGATTAGCGTAGCCTTAGCAGCTTTAACCAATGAGCATGCAAATATTTCTCTTCAGCGGCATGTTTTCCCAGCTGTTGTCGCATGATCTAACCATGGCATTGTCCATTGTTTTCTCCAACGCATCTTTATGATAAAATGGTTCTTACAAGCCTATGATGTGATTGCGGACTTCGTCTCAGGTGAGTCCATGTTAACATAAAGATAATGACAAATCACTTTTATACATAGCATTTTTTTGCCGTTATATACGTGTTCTGTTTTTTGACGATCTGAAAAAGGAATAACTTTTACTTAATGGTCATTTTGAATCATACATACAAAAAAGTGGTCGCTGATTTTGCACAGCACTGTAGCTGCAGCCTGAGTTCTCATAAGACCTGTTGTGACAGCTGGTTAGTTCTTTTAACCGTGATAGCTGTATTGACCATTACACCACTGTCTATGATGGCTCATAGTGCCAAACAAATCAAGAAAAGAACATGACCCGTCTAGAGATGAGTGAATATTGGTGTAGCTTTCCAGTGCTGCAGAGAGCTCAGGAAGTTGAAGTGCATGAAGAGTGACACAGACCTTGCTCTGTATCTGCTAGACAGGTAATTATTTTGCATAGCACATCTGAAGCTAACAAAGTGCAACAACCAGACAACTAATTTAGCACCAGCATTCAGCTGCTATGGCCTGGACAGGAGGTGCATGTTCAGGTGTTTTGAGGACAAGGCTTTGGAGGGAACACTGAAGGGATGGACTGTATTTGTTTGGATGTAAAGTTCCAAAACAATCAGTTACACCAAAGTTGATAACCCATCCTGTAATATGTTGGTTGCAGGAGCATTTTCAAAAGGTATTCTTACCTAGTTGAATATTATGTTGAAGTTGAAGTTGAATATTATGCATTTATTTAGCTGTATCATTAAAATGTAGTTACTTAATTACATATTGAGTTACATAGTAAATTACACAATGAATTACATTTAGATTCAGTATATATTCTTTATTGACAGGTTAAAGTTTCTGGTTTTTCAGTGTGAAATGGACAAAATTTAAGTTCTTTCTGTAAAACATGTTTGTGCTCATAGTGATAACTTATTTAATTTTAAATCATTATATCTGTTTCTACTTACGAACACAAACATGGTATTGATAAAGTTTAGAATGCACACTTTTTGTCAGATTTCTCCACTTTTTTCAGTGACTTATGAGTGAGACATAGATAATATTGAATTACACCATCCTTTTCTTATTGCTGTCGATAAATGTCACTTCTAAGGGTTAAAAATTTGGATTTAAGTGTATATTCGCAACTCTTACAGCAGATGCTACTGAAGATTTCGGGGAGTAGGTATCCAAGGAATAACTTGATATACACTGATTCTCCTAATCATGTTGTCAAGAGCCAATTTTCTAAAGCATTCCACTGAAGCTAGGCACTCAAGGCATTCTCCTGTGCGCTCTTGTCAGTCTATTGCAAGTACTTTCCTCATTGGCATTCCTCTTGTGAGCCACTTTGACTCCATTCCCACGTCTCTGAAACGTCTCCTCGTCTAGTCACACTTCCCTGAGCGTCTCGAAGGGAAGCCGCTGGTGCCAATAGCGGCGACACTTGGGCGGGTTTTATACTTCACACGCGTTTGGCAGCTGAGGACTAGATTTGCAACATTTTCAATCAATTGCACTAGAATGGGAGCTTAGAAAATCGATCATTTTATTTTATATATATTTTTTTTCAGATATATAATCCGTTTAAGGCCTAACTGTGGGTCAAATCCATAAAGCTCTTGCACCCGTGGCGGGATTACGAGGGTGCCGTCTCGTTTAAATCACGGAGCCTTGAAATGGAGTGTGTCACATTAACCAAGCATCTCCATTGGGGTCTCAGATCTCTGTGGGGCCGGAACAGAGGACCCCAGAGGGCTGAAGTCTGTGACATTGGATTAGTGTGCAGACAGGCCAGCGCTTTGTAGCTGACCTCAGCCTCAGCATCTGTGCAAACTCTACAGCAGCGATACATTCCTCTCTTTAACACAGACTCTTCATGTGACAGCAGTATAAAACAAGCATTGGAAGATTTAAAATCTAATTCTTCCAGACAAACTTTGAGCCTATATTATGCAAGTATTATGCATAGATTTAGCGTTCCCTGTAATTTCATATGGCTGGCCTCATGCACATAGCCCATGTGCAAAGTTTTAATAATTGGTATTGTTCCAATCAACATATGCATTACAAAATCTTGTTTGGTTAACCTTACATTTATGTGATAGTATTATGAGAGTAGTATTATAAGAGTTCTGGTTCTAAGATTTGATTGGCTGAGCCCTGGTTTAAAATATTCAGTGTGCATTCATATGACTACACACATCAGGTGAATTCTGTAGTGGTGCACTAGGGTATTAAAACCATTGTGCTGTTCATAGAATAATCTTTAACTGTTATGGTACTTGGCAACCATAACCTGCTCATAAAGCTATGTTGCTTGGTGGAAGAATTGTTTATTGGCATTATTATAAATGAAAAATAAAATTATTTACTATTTATTTATTAAGCAGATTGTATTTTGACAAAATATGACAAAAACACAAATCTTATATTTTTCAACAGAAAACATATTTAACAGAAAATTACACAGAAGCCTTAAACAACTTAATATAAGCAATTTCTTTGAGTATTTAATGTGTGCACACTTTGCCTTTATTACATCTTACGTTTGTTTCCAGTAGACAAGCTTTTAGTTTTTCAAAGAAATCTGCAGGGATATTTTTCTACACTTCCAAAGTTTAGCCTTAGAAGCGTTGTCTTCTCACAGGGGAGGGATGTACAGAAACACCTCAGATCTGAGGCAAGAGCGGAGGTTGATGTCTTTTTATAAAAATCTCCTAATTAAAAAATGAATCATTTGCACTTAGTGGTTGTTCTGACAGGAAGTTGAATGAAGAATGTTCTCTGATTTTTGCATGTTACTGTAATTCTTTAGTTTTTTTTTATTTAAATGTAAAAGTTTTGTTCTGGAAATAATTTTGCACATAGGCACTTCACTATTTTTATTTGTCTCAGAAACACAGTTCTGTAAGATTATGAAAATGCATGTTCAGTTAAATACCAGTTTGACTGGTTGAGTATGCCGAAGTTTAATTTTAGTTATTTTTTTGTTACGCCATGTCTCACATTACTGACTCACTGCGAGTCATGTGGCCAACAGGATTTCTTATCACAATTTCAGAAAAATTAAGCACCAATGTATCACTCAGATATTTTTCAGATATATATTGATTTTTATCATCAATGCATGCAGCATTTTAGCTCTCCATCTCCTGCTTTGGTTGTCCAATTACCCAAAAAGCCTTACAAATCTCTGTGAGGTGTGTGAACATGCATGCACAAGTGCAAGAATAAATAATTCAGTCATTTCAAGTGACCAGCAATATGCAGTACTGTCCTTGTAATGTCCTTCTCCCTCAAGATGGCCAGTAATTCACTGTCTTTCTGGCCAGCCTGATGCTTTGCACACCTGCTGAGGAGCTCAGTTGGTTGTTGTTGGCTCAGCTTTTCTACTGCGGCAAAAGTCTGATTGAAACTCAAGAACTGAAAGGCGCTGAAGCTGTAAATCAGTTACTGAAACTTCTTTTGAAATTTATTTACAGAAACTCTTGTCACTTATGTGTGGCCTTATGTTGACCTCAGGGACAAAAGGGATAGCTTCCAGTTAGTCAATGTATAACCTGTTGTATAAAATGACTATCTATTGTATAAAATCACAATTCGAGCACATGTATCCTGTGCGCCAGCGCTGGGCAGTATTGTTAAAATGCAGTATCTCAATATTTTGCAAATATACCACAGTATCATGTGATATTTATGTCTGCATTAATAAAGTTCATGCTTATCATGGTATTTAGTGATATGTAAGTTTGTTGGTCAAGTCAGTCATGTTTTCTTAATACTGGCACTCTATACTAAAAGAATATCTTACTACCCCGACTGTGCTTTTATATTTGCATATATATATATATATATATATATATAATATAACTTTCTGTTTGTACCATCAGTCTAATTGATCTAATCTGGTTAGTTTAAGAAATTATATGGGCCATTCTAACAAATGAAATTCCTTTATATTCTCTATGGACAGCATGAATGCACATATTTGTAGGACTGGGGGTAAGGCTGGAACTTTTCAAAATGAGCCTGGTGCCCCCTAGCAGACCCACAGGTGTATTGCGCTTTGTGTTCTGACCACTGGCTTACTATCTTTGTGTACTGTCCGTGAAGCTGTTTGAACCTGGCACCCCAACACTTACTACTGCACAACAAGACCGTTCGGCTTAGTTTTTATCACCAGCACAAAACGCTGTAAAATTCCAGGGGAGTAGTGCAGGATGAAGGGACCGTTATTTGTTCATTTTAAACAGCGATAGTGAATGTTTGCCTTTTTCAGATAACAACCCGTAATAAAGCTTGTGTCGTCAATGATTTATTTTTTTTAAGCTCGCCCTCAATAAAAATTGTAAACAAAATTGGCCGTCCTTGAAAGCTTGCCAGAGTTAATTAATGCACCTTGTTTTAGCACCTCCCTGGCTCTGCGCTTTCTATTGCTTTAATGCTGTATTGCTTTTTTTAAAGCCAGAAGAGAAGATCACAATCTTGATTTAGTTTTCTGCTGTGGTTTAGCTCGTAAGTGAAGAAGGTTACTTGTTGCAAAGTTGTTGAAGTTCAAACCTTTATCGAGTAGATCCGTTGTTTCATGTATCCCCAGCATACTGCATGAAGGCTCTGTGGTGTGGGGACGGAGAGAGAGATTGCGTGAGTTAGGAAGAGATACAAGATATTTAGAATGAGAAGAGCAGGAAAAACAAAAGATGAAGAGATTTAAACTGTCATAAGGTGTGCACTCAGGTGTTGGAATAGGTTGTTCAGTAAATAGGCTGGGGCATTGCGGGGTGTTTGTGTGTATTTGATGAGAATGGCCAGACAGCGTTAGACAGCCTCCTCCTGTACGTGCTGGGAGAAATAATGACCAACGACACAGAGCTTTCTGCCCCGATTGCTCCAAACGGGGGTTTTACTCAGAGCCAAAAGCAAAACAATAACAATATGCACCGTGTCTCTCAACAAGACAACAAGACTCTACCATAACTTTTCACCTCAAGAATTTAAGCTGTGTTTTTCTTCCTTACTCCATACAGCCTCTGTGTTTCTCTTTTTTGTTTGCACCTCATGTCTATGACAGTATGTCTCCTCCTTTTGTACATGCATGAAGTTGTGATGAGGAAAATGTATGAACCTTTTGACCTTTTTAAGATTTATTTAGATCTAGAATAGATAAAAATAATAATAACCAGCGAACACATTTTACAGCTCCACATCTGTATTAAACAAATGGTTTAGCAATCAAGGTTATTGATGGGAAAAAATACAGCTCTGTGCAAAAGTCAGCGATCAGTCTTCATTTATTTAATTTCCAGTCACAGTGGAAATTAAGAACAAATTATTATTTTTCAGTGTTGGGGAAAAAAAAACAAAACAAATTTTACAGAAAATTACACAGAAGCCTTAACAACTCAATGTCATAATTAAATCCATATAAAAATTACCTTCAGTGAATAAAAACAGTGTAATTTTCATGTTTATTCTGCTGCTATGTCTCAGACGAGTTCATGCTCTGAATGCCATTCCTCCCAGTAGCATCTAATGTTATATGCATGTTGGACTACCTGTTTGGATTGCTGCATATTATTTGTCAGCAAAGTTATTTATATTGTAGGTTAGATGAATATAGTTCGAAGAGCGCAGGTTTGGTTCTTGACTTCTTGCTTCAATTCTATCAGCAGCACAGCTGTATTAATTTATTGATTATATAAACTAGGTACTGGATAGTAACTGTAAATACTGGAGCTCCTCAGAGAGAGCTTTGGAAGGGATTAAGCTGAGGCACATCATATTACAACAGGTTGTTTATTTGTATTCATTCTGTTAGTGTTTTTGGAACAATTAAACACTTATATGCCCAGATAAATGGCTTTACGAATCATTTCCTCAGATGCCTGAGACTTTTGCACAGTAGTATGTGTATTATAATATTATTGTTTATTTACATTAAGAAATGATTCCAAACTGTTAAACTGTATGAATGGATCATGTGACACCAAATGCCCCATCTAACTATGATATCCATGCATGAAGTATGACAGTACCATGATCAACCGAGTCTCCTAAACATTTCCATGTAAATAATGCTCTATTCAAAGCTCATTGATACCTTGAATCGGCCTGAGAAGACACTACAAATCAAAGTGTATTTACAAAGTATACAAAGTGTCACACATAATCAAAGACGGTTCTCTTTGTAATCAGTTACAAGATGGCTTGGCTAGGAAGCAGAACTAAATTTGTAAGCATACAGGTTTGTGGTGGATTAATTTGAGATTTCCTGACTGATGTAAACAGCCTACAACGGTAGCCAGGTCAGTAGAGGAGGCTAAAAACTGACCTGTTGCCCTGTTGCTGAATTAGTTATCCTGAACACACTCTCTCTTTCCCTCTTAGCTTTATCCTTCTGTCCTCTTTTTTGTCCAAGTTGTGAACACAAACTGCGATGCTTTACACTAGTTGACTACAAGGGAGGGGTGGTGTGAGACTGCGACTGACTACGGGCCCCACCATGGGCCCCTCCGCAACTGCCCCTCTGGTAGTTGTGCCACTGTGTCCAACATCCAAGCATTTTTTTTGGAAACTTAGGGTACCTCCCATGAACACCACTCTTGTTCAGTATTTTTCTTAATGTTTTCTCATCAGAACAGATGTTATCAAATGCAAAAGATGCCTGCAAGTCATTCACTGTATTATGTAGTAGTAGTATGACTTTTAGGAGTTTATGTACAGTAAGAAGTGATTCCAAACTGTTAAACTGTATGAATGGATCATGTGACACCAAATAGCTCATCTAACTCCGATATCCATCCACGAAGTATGACAGTACCATAATCAACTCAGTCTCCTAAACATTCCCATGTAAATAATGCTCCATTCAAAGATCAGTGATGCCTTTAATCAGCCTGAGCAGAAACTGTTGTGACTTTTAGGAGTCGTTTGTTCAGAAGTCCATGTATTTCAAAAAACATCTTTCACAGCTGTACTTTTACCTCCCTGTGTTAACAGCTATCTCTACACATTTGGAAGGAGAGGAGAGGGTCCAGGTTCTGCTCATGGTCGAAAGTGGCAGGTAAATCCCTTGAACTGCTAAAATGTTATAATATTTAAATGTTTTTTGTTGTTGTTTTCTTGTGGGTCATGAATCTTCTCATGTTTTTGTCTTGTCTTTTTGTGTGTGGCAGAACCATTTACATTCGTGGTTTCACTAAGCAGGACTTTGCTCTGTGGCACTCTGCTATCCAGTTGGCTGCTGGGAGGGATGGCAGGGCGCTAGGCAACCAGCAGCTGAGTAAAAATGACATCCCTATTATTGTCGACAGCTGTGTTGCTTTTGTCACGCAATATGGTAATTCATATTCATCCCCCAGTACATTTTTTTAACTTGATGTGAAATAACCGTGAGCAGAACATTAGCATTAAGGCCTTAACATACAACCTGTTTGAATTACGAATGAAACATTCATACAGTGAGATTTCAAAATAGACATGCTCCAAGACCTCTTGAACACATGTCTGACAATGCTGTTCTGCAACACTGCAAAAGTTTCAGAACAGCTCATACTCAAATTTGATTTTCAAATAAAAATAACAGCTGATAGAGTTTGTTTCTGTGTAATAGAATTGAACAAAAACAAAGACTATAAACACAGATCAGCTACAGATCTGTTGGACTATCAGCATTTGGGAGGGAATTGCTTCACAACCTGTCAATCTTTGATCTGTAATGGTCGATACCTTTTTCTTCTTAGACCATACTTCTTTATACTTTTCAAAATCAGATGGGCCAATTGCAGACTTGTCTGCATGTTCAATAGAACTACAGTCACTATTTTGCAAAGATCTGTTACATATTCTTGTTGTTTTCTCATATAAAATAGAGTGCCATACAACCTTACATAACAAACGGTGCATTTTTTGTCATCCATTAAACAAAAAAAGGCTTCACTTTAGTGTGCCAAAGCCCTTACACTCAACATTTCAGTTTCTAAATTGAAATAATTATAGATTACGCATTCAGGCTGCTTCTAGACCACAAGCTTCTGTTCAAAGATTGTTTAGTGAGTTTCTGTGAGACTACATATTTATATGTATGTATGTGTGTATATATATATATATATATATATATATATATATATATATTCTTTGGTTCTCCAAGCCTAACTTTGTCCTTTGACACTTGATTCCAGGTTTATGTTATCAGGGCATCTATCAGAAGAATGGTGACCCCAAACGTGTGGCCCAGCTGCTTGAGGAGTTTACCCGGGATGCTCGGAATGTCAAGCTTCGTATTCAAGATCATCGGTTAGAGGACGTCACAGACACACTCAAAAGATTCCTGTCCCACTGTGAGGATGCCCTGCTGGCCAAAGAGCTTTACCCTTACTGGATTTCTACCCTGGGTTAGTACCGTAAAGTGACAGAAACATTGCATTTAACACTAGAGGACAGGTTCACCACTTTTTCTGAATCTATGTTTATGTATTTTTAGGGCTAATGACTGAAATAAATAATTGAGATTAATCTTGTTGTTTTGTGCAGTTCATCTTGATTAATCACACGTGTTGTATTTGCTCAGATATGACCCTAAATAAAGAGGTATTAAAATTAAAAAGCAGTGCATTTTGTTACAGCTATATGAGTGGACAAAATCCATTGGTTCCTAACTCTGGTCCCGTAGAACCCCCTTCTCTGCACATTTTTATGTTTTCCTGACAAAACACACCCACGTGAACTCAGGAAGGGTTTGTTAATGAGCTAATTAGTTAGATGAAGTGTGTTGGGAGCGAGGAAAACACTAAAATATGCAGATATATCTCATATATACAGTCAGTGAGTCCAACTCCACCACAATGTCTCTCACTCTCGTTCATACAACTTGTATTCTTGTCACAGTAAAGGCTCTCGAGGGGGACTGTAGCTTTCCACTTTGCTGTTATCAGTATGTTTGATTTATTCATAGGTGTCCCATAAAGTGTCCAACATAGTCTGCCGATGGTGCTTAAGGAATCACTTTAAAAGTCATATAAATCTGTATTTGAATGAGAGGGTGACAACCACAGGTTCTATCATAGCAACACACAGCACACAAGCAGCTGGGCTTCAGCCTGCACTACTACAAATGGTTTGAAGGAAAATTTGTCAGCGTGTCAACATTAAACAAGTTATTTGTGTTAATAATTTATCGCATCAATGTATTTTTAATGCCTTTCGTAGCTAATTTAATTTTACAGAAATTCCTTTAGTGAAATACGGGTGCATTATAGATTGTTTTATTTGCACCTAAATGACAAGCTCAGTTCATCCACTTCATGTTTCTTACCATTAGATCAGTGAGGGATGGTGTCTCTTTTAAAATGTAATATGTTTTGGTTGCTGCTTTCAGATGAAGAGAATGAAAAGGACAGGATTGAGAAGTACTCCACCTATATTCAGAGTTTACCCAAGATAAGCAGGTCAACTCTTGCTGCGTTGCTGCAGCATCTGTACAGGTATACACACACACACACACACACATACATACATTTAGACAGTAAAAACCCAGAGTACAAAACTTCCACCCCCGTAGTTTTGTAATGAGCTCTTTTGAACAAAATTCCTGAGTCACCAGCAACTCTTGACAGTATAAACCTACATTCCACACTTTCCCTACGTTAGGTGCTTTGAAGTCTGCTTTACAAGCGCTCAGTAAATATGCTTTCCCATAAACCCTCAGTGGGCTTGTCAGATTGCGTGAAATATTCCGGATTTCACTCTAATTGTTTGGAGAAAGCTTAATTGGCCCTGTTGGCAGATTTGGATGGTGGCCTAACGTTTCCCCGATGATGCTACACACGTATTGTTTTGTTTTCCTCACAAACGGAAACGTTTCAATATTTGTGCCTTGCTGTTTAGTGTTGCTTGTGTGTTTGTTTGCGCTTCTGTGGGTGTGTATGTATGCAAGCTCATACTTGTGCATGTGGGTAAGTGTTTCAGTGTGAGCCTTGAAATAGTGAGGTGTGTTTATTGTGTATTTATTCTTTGAGTGAACTTGCTTATTTATGCATCTGTGCATATTCATATGATTGACATATGGGAGAGTTAGGTTTCTGCGTCAATATTTATTCATGTACTTAATGTATTTCGTGTTTGTGCGCTCCCTAGGATCCAGAGCTGCTCTCACATTAACCAGATGAAGGCTCAGAGTCTGGCATGTGTTTTCTCGTCCTGTCTTTTCCAGACAGAGGGACACACACCTCAGGAGACACGTGTGGTGGAAGACCTCATCAGTAACTACACTCAGCTTTTCTCTGTTAGTTTCACTTCACAACAGCACCTCACATTATTCACCTTCACTCACACCCAGTGTGTAGAACTAGTGTCAGGCTAAAGCACAGCTTAGGGATAGGAAAGAAGGCATGACAGTAGCATTTTAACACATTTGAGAACACAAACAGGTACTGCTTAGTTAAGTGTGTCACCACCTACCCCTTCACAACATGCTAACTTAGCAGCCATTTGAGATATCAACAAACTTCAAATTCCTATTTTAACTGTGGAAGCTTTCCAACAATGCCTGATGTGATATTATATGTTGTATATTCTTGTGAAATCTTATATACACTACATCTGCAGAGTCATCTGCATTGATGATTTTTGAAAATGTGACTGTTGACATAGCGGTAACAGATTCAAATGCAGTAAGTATATTTCAATGTGACTTTTGAAAAACTTCAAAATATTTGACTTCAGAGAAACAAGATTTATTTCACCGTGGCTGCTAGAATGCTGCAGATGCTTTTTGAGGGCAGTCATAGTGGGCCCAGAGACACCTGAGTAATTGAATCAATGTTAGGAGAGTGATGTGACTTCATACAGTGAGTTAGCAATGCGTAGTAAGAGAATAAACTAAAAAAAACGCTGAGAAACACAAAATAATCATACATATACTCAACACTTCCACGACTTCCAGTGGCATATGCGTTTAATAAATGTTTGATTGTGCATATTATTAATTTAACTTGTTTTGTTCCAAATATTTTTAATGTTTTTTTTCAGTAACACTGGTTTTGAGGTTTTTCAGTTCCTTAAACATCTGTTTTTGTAACTGGTTATTACTGGCAAACTGAATTTGTGCTGAGTCAAACTGTATGGACAGCTTAATAATAGTGTAATATAACACCAAGTTTTAGTAAAAAAAAAAAAAATAAAATAAAAGCATGACCAGTCAACTTCTTTTAGCCCTAAATTCTAAAGCCTTAACTGTTGGTAATATACACTCCCTGGCTGCTTTATGTACAGCACCTTGTGTCTACACTCACTGTCCATTTCATCAGCTCCACTGAGCATATAGGTGCACTCTGTAGTTCTACAATTACCAATTGTAGTCCATCTGTGTGATAGTGTGTGTGGTTGTTGGTACAAGTTGATCAGACACATCAGTGTAGCTAGAGTTTTTTTGTGTTGATTTACTGGAGATTAGGCTCCAGGCCTTTTTTCTCCAATAATGCAAGCACATCTATGTTATTAGAATGTTATTAGATTAAATTTCCCCACTTACAACCTGCTAGGACACAGTTAAATAATGTAGAATATAATAAAAAACGTAAAATTGCACTCTTTTTAGATTGTGATTTTGTATATACAGACATATGCAAAGGTTTGAATACCCACAGTCAAATTACATGTTTTGTTGATTGTTGTTGATTGTAAAGTGAAAATATGTTAGTACATTCCTCTACAGGGAACTTAAATTTAACTTTAATTTTAACTTTAACTTTAACTTTAATTAATTTGCTAAATTTAACATATTGGAAAAAATCAAATATAAAGTGTGCCTTAACTTTTGCACAGACTCCATTTTTGTGTTTTATGTGACAATAAAAAAAAGTAATTGTGCATTAAAATGTAAATTTTTTCACTTTGAAAATCAACAAAATGTAATTTACACAGAGGTGCCCAAGTTTTTGCATACAGCTGTAAGAAATAAAAAGAATAATGATTTAGCCCTAACGCTACCATATCACTATCATGTTAGTGTCACTGTAGTGCTGAGACTCCACCACACAGATGATACCTGATTTGTGGTGGTCCTGTAGCGGTCCTGACCATTGACGAACAGAGTAAAATTGGGCCAACGCATTACACAGAGAAACAGATGGACTACAGTCTGTAATTGTTGAACTACAAAGTGCATCTATATGGTAAGTGGAGCTGATATAACGGACAATTAGTGTAGATGCAAGGTAACTACGTACCTGTTGTTGCTGCTGTAAATGTTAATGTCATAGGAGAAGGACAGAATGTTCTTAATTGTATTGTAAATTAATTTAACAGGACTTTCTCACTAAATATTTGTAACTGTTTTAGTTAGTCCATTTATCATACAATATAAAGGGCAGGGTGTGTTTACACATAGTAAACAGAATAAACAATGAACAAAATGGAGTTACAAGGTTTTGGCATCACATCAACAATATATTTGTGGTTGTTTTTCTTTTTAGACAGTGAATACTGCTTGCAAAATATTGTAATGTGAAGCTAGGCCTTTTCAAAAACAGAACATCCTTATATATAAATATCCCAGTGAATTATCCCAGAATTTCCTTTAGTTGAAATGCCAGAGAACATGCAGCCCTTTGCCTCAGTAAGCAATGGATGGCCTAAAGCAAGATAGCAGGAGAACTGACTTTACAATTGCTTTTACCCATGCAGAATTACAAATACGCAGTCTTGGAGGAGCCGAGATGGAGGATCATCCTTTAGAGCATTCTAATATGTGCTTTGTCAGACTGGAAGAGTTCCTAAGAGTTCCCTTTCTAGCATGAATTATTCCCCATATGTAGGACACTTGAGCACAATCTATCAGAACATTTCTGCTTCGGTACACTAAGAAAAGGGGACAAATATTGATAGAACACTCAGACACTGCAGTCATAGAGTAATCAGTAGAGTAGAAGGTGGTTTTTGCTGTTGAGCATTAACTTTTGCCTGTAAAATAGGATTTGAAGTACTATGCAGTGCTAATTCCCCCTTGGCAGATCCCAGTCTCCATCAGTGTGAGATGTGAGCTTTTGTGTGAAAAATAAGCATCAAGCTGAACTAAAGATTGGCATTTCCATTAAAAAAAGGCACAACCCAACACAAAGCCAGAGGAAATGCACATTGCAGGTTCTTCAGACAGAGAATAGTCACTATTACACAAAACAGTATTGCATAAGTCCTCATTATTTTGTATTCTGCTTTACAGACAGTAGATAATAATACAAAAGAAAGTAGTTTGGGGTAAAATTCTCTTCTGTCCTAAAGAAATACTTTTTGATGTTTGGGCCTAAATCTCAGGGCTGGCCTTTATTTCCTATACTAATACATTAATGAACTTCTAATCTTTTGTCGTACCCCTTTTTAACAGTGCTTCACTGTTGTTTGTTGAGAAGTCCAGTGGGTTTTCTGTGACACTGGGTTCCCCCTGGCTGGTTGTAGAACAGAATCATCTTTTTGATAAAATTAAAAATTGTTTATATTTGGCCTTGCATGCAGTCAATACATGGACAGATCACATTGTCCATTGTGTTGAGTTTTTTTAAAAATTAATCTGTCTATTCAAAAGAGCTAGATCCAGGTTTGATTCACATCACAGTCTTTAGATTTCATGTTAACTGTCTAAAAGCCAAGTGAATATGCGTTTGTGTGAATATTAAAATGAACTCTTATCCGTCCTGCATTTTTCTCTGATCGGTGGACTTTTCCAATCATCTACAGGTGATCTATGCAGATTTGCATATTTCAGATAAACATGAAGTGCAGTAAGTTAATTATTTATAGATCTTGACTTTTAGGCCAGTGAATGTCAGTGACAGATATTTGCTCATATTTTCATGTATTCATCAGCAACAAACAGCTATTTTCATATTATTTACTTGACCTCAGTCATCAAAGGCATTCTTATTATTAGAATAATTTAGTTACAAAAAAAACTTTGGTTTCTTCAGACCATAACACTTTTGACTTTAAGCACATAGACCTTTTATATTTGCTGTATATAAAACTATTGTTAGATTAAAAGGACAACATTTCGTTTCATGAGATAATAGATGACAAACTGGGTTGTAAAGCGTACTGGACCCACTAGAGTTATGTCTGTTTGCATACATTTATATGAGACCATTAAGACCATTTAACAGAATGCAAACCCATTTGGCGTTAAGACCAAGCTGTTTGGAGTTTAGTCCCTCCTGTTTGGAATTGATCCAGCCTGCAGGAATGCATACTTGAACTCGAAGTGTGATTAACCTTTGATTGGAATTAAAGGAGAGTTCCACTCAGAATGTCTGTATAGTTAAATGGTAGTAAACAGTCATTCAGAATGGTCTGATGTGAACTAATTCATTCAAGAGAAACTTACAGAGTCAGAATTGTTCACAGTGATGGTGACAGGAGCCAGACGTATGAAAGACGTATAAAATTGTTGTAAATACACCGACTGCCTATATTTAGTAAGATGTTGGCCTAAATGTTTTTCTTTCTTTTTAATCCGTCTATGGTGGAGAGGTACACGCAGGGCGTCTAAGGCCAAATAGTCCCGTCCCGTCCCCCCCACCAAAAAAAAAAACAACGAAACTCACCTGAACATACATCTGTAGGTTCACTGGTCATTTTGGATAGTATAAAATATATTTTAATTTATATGTTTATATATATATTTGCATGGTACACATCTCAACCTGTGGTTTTTATCATCACTTATCACTTCTTTAAAGAAATCTAATCCAAATCTAAAGAAATCTTCTTTAAAGAAATTTAAAGAGTCTACAAGTTTCTATACAAAGCACCATTTCACATCAAACCACTCTGAATGTCATTAAACTAAGCAGACATTTTGGTATTTCCCTTTGAGTCACAGACAGATTCAAGTACCAGTGACTTGGTTAACCGCACTATTGAAGGTGACTATCCCAATTTGGCATTAAAAAAAAACAACTTTCCAGTAGATTGCTTATTGAAGTCTGTGTGCACTGTGCTGTTGAACTGTGTGGAAGATGTGCTTCTGTGTGGCACTGTCTTTTACCTACTGTTTATCGGTGCTCATTAAACTAGGTCAATGAAGAGCAAGTCAGGCAAATGGAGAGAGAGAACCGCTTAATCACGAGGTGGAAGGACACTACGGTAAGTCACCCCTTTTAACCCCTCTGTTAAGTGTGTGTGTATGTGAAGTGGAGAAAGAAAATGTAAGAGGGAATATTAAACTGCGCCACTAGATGCTGTATTTATGTATTTATTTTTTAAGCATGTTTTTGTATGTTTTTCTGTAAGTGTAATTGCACCACATGAATATGTATTTGTGTCAGTTTTTGACACCATCTTGATCTGTGCACGTGAATTTTTTATACGCATGTATGCATATTCAAATATATGCATATAAAGACAAGACAACGTGCAATACTGCTAGATTTTATGCTAAAAAATATTTGCCATATCCAACTTACTGGCATGAAATGATTTCCACTATTTTCTAAAAAAACAGACCAATTAAATTGTGTGATTTATTCAGACATCATAAAATTCTAACATTTTTTTTTTTTTCTGATCTTGCACATCAAACGTTTTTTTCAGAAGGTGTAAGTTTGACATTTTTTATTTTTTGCTGACTTGCACAGGCGACATGAACTCATTTAACCAATTACTGTTATTTCTGGCATTGATCTGGCAACGGCCAAGATGATTGGATTGATTGGAAGTGGGGGTGCTGAGGGGGCTCCTGCACCCTCAGATTTCAGTATTGTTTATCTGTGACTGCTAAAAATAATAATTAAAAAAAAGAAAAACTGAACATTGATATAATCTGAGGTTTGTCTTTGTCTTAGGCCTGTCACAATTATTATGTAATTATCTGATCACAGTTATTTGAGCTGATTGCCGTTATTTTCCACAGTTGTTAGCATTCACAAAAATATGTTCATCACAGCAAACAGAATGTGAACTGGGTGCATCAGTTACTTTGAGGCATATACTTATGAATAAAAGAAAGCAGAAAACACATTTAATGAAAAGTCATGGATCTTACGACAACAACAGAAGTTGTAACTTAAAAATTGTAACCGGTGTTTCAACGCTTTTAGAGTAATGTTTGTTTTATGAGCTCAGGCTTTGTTTCTCATCATTGGGGAGCTACTAAATATAGTTAACTAGGAAACAGGATAGCTAACAAGCCACTTTTAACGTGCTTTAATAGTTGCATACAATTCACAAAAAAGACAATTCACTGATTAATTGCAGTTATTTATATGGCAATTAATTGTCACATAAAAAGTTTAATGATAACAGGCCTAGTTTGCTTCTTCACATCACATGTGGTACTAGCATCTCCAAAGGCGGTGAAACTGAGCTACAAAATCCAAGCGGAATGAGGCTTAGAAACTCTTCATGCTATTTTCACTTTTCCAAAATAAAAATAGATTTCTCAGTGCACCTTTTGTCCATTTTATGAGGAGCATAGAATGTCTTTCTGTGCTTGCAGGTACTGTCTGTTTGCTTTTACATTGCACATCAACAAGGTCAAATAAAAAAAAGCACTGCATTCATGTATAATTTTGATTCAGAAAATTATTGTCTGTGCATCACAAACACAATGTGTCATAACTTTTGCACAGGCCACATTTTAAGTTATATTTTTTTATCCCCAGTATGTTGAATTTAGCAAATAAATTAACAGCAAGAAGAATAAACAGTAACTGAATGTTAAAATGTGCAGAAACATGTTCTCTATAGAGGATGTGTTAACTTATTGTCACTTAGAAAATCAGCAAAACATAATTTGACCATGGTGGCCAAACTTTTGCATACAACTCTATGCGTGTATGTGTTCTTCTCCTGCAGGTTTGAGTGGTATTTTGCCCTTTCTTGCTGTTAGTTTGGGCTTGTGCACGGCAATGAGGAATCTCTCGGCTCAGGCTAACGTTCCTGCCGCCACGCTTTATGCTTTTTTTTTTTGCTTCAATGGCAACAGTTTTCTCAGATAACCTGAAAACAAATAAATCTTCCCCCATGTGCAGTTGTCCAAGTCCAATAAGTTGTTTGTTTATTTATTTATTTTGTATTATTTTATTTTATTTATTTATTTTCCAGTGGTGAGACAAGAAATTTTGGGTTGAGTGCAGCCATGCAAAATAGAAGGTCAGTTCTTCAAAGGGTCAGTTCTATTACTGTCCCCTCAAGTCATGGGGAAAATTAGAAATCCACTAAGACAAATGAAAAGAGGAAAATGCCCAGAATGGGCAGCGGAGTGTTTAGCAGAGAGCGGAAGGGGGGCTGAGAGAAGGGGGTTAGGTACTTATTTTGAGTGTTTTATAATATGCACATGTGAGAGGCTGATCCTGCACAGCACACTGTGACGCTTTACTATAAAGCAATGGCTAGGTTGAAAATACATACTGCTCACACATTGATTGTGCCTAAAGTAGTAAGTATTATGCAGTATGTGACCAATATGAACCTCTCCAGTACTCCAGAGATACCCAGATGACCTACTGCTCTGGACAAATATTCCAGTACACGGGCAGGACTACACTGTGTGGTCAAAAGTATGTGGACACCCCTCCTAAATATTGAGTTCAGGTATTTCAGCCATACCCATTGGCTAACAGGTGTATAAAATCAAGCATGTAGCCATGCAGTCTCCATTCTCGAACACAGTAGAATGGGTCTTACTGAAGATCTCAGTGACTTTAGACATGGCCCTGTCTATCTGACAATCCAGTTTATGAAAGGTCTGCCCTGGTCAACTGTCAGTGCTATTATTGTGAAATGGAAGCATCTAGGTGCAACAACAGCTCAGCCATGAAGTGATAGACCGCATAGACTCACAGAGCAGTGCCACGGAGATCCACACTGCCGCTGGAAGGAACATCAGCACAAGAACTGTACATTGAGATCTTCATTAAATAGGTTTCCATGGCTGAGCAGCTAAATACACATGCCCCGGTGTGCAAAGTGAGGTCCATAAAGACATGGTTTGACAAGACCTCAACCCCACTGAACACCTGTGGGATGAACTGGAACGATGATTGCGAGCCAGGCCCTCTTGTCCAAGTTCAGTGCCTGGCCTCACAGATTCTCTTTTGACTGAATGGGCACAAATTCCCACGGACACACTTCGTTATCAGCATTATGTCACTGTGATACACTCTACGCTACAAAGTCAGTTATGTGCTGTCATTTCACCCAGAAGAGTGTCCTACTTTTATTTTTCCACTACCTAAAAAAATCAGTGCTACCGAATATAGGTGTTGTCAGCTTGACATCAAAAGCACCTTTATGACAGATGATACCTGTTGAAATAAGCCTTTAGAAATGTTTATGTAGGTCTGTGTCAGAGCTTCTGTAGGTTTCATGTAGCTTTGTGAACACTGCCCTATAGTAAAAGGTTATTACACACAGCATGTAGAAGCTGCCTGTGTTGTGTGTTTACAGTGTTTGTATGTGGGGTGTCAGTATGTGCATCATGTGTCTGTACTTTACTCACTGTGTATCTACGCATGTTTTACTTTCAACTGGTTATTTCCTTCTTTTCTGTTTTCTACGGTAGGTATTTAGATGAATGAAGCCGCAGAAGGCTCAGTGCCCTGAACCTCTGCTTACTGGTGGAGTGTGATGCTGTTGAGTGATGTGCGACTCCAGCTGTACATCATTTAGATACACACACAGACAGCAGTGGGAGCTGAATGGAGCTCTGATTACGCTTTGTTAGCTTCACAATTACTGCAATGGAGTCGTGCGACTTCTTTAGTAAATGTGCATAATTTTCTTTCTCTCTTCCCTGCTTTCTTTGGGTGCATCCCCTGTTCTTTCCTTCTTTCTTTCTTGCTTGTATTCTTTCTTTTTTCTGTTGTCTTCTTTCCTTCTTGCCATCTTTCTTCCTCTTTCTTGCTTTCTTGCCATCTTTTTCTTTTTTCTTTCTTTCCATCTTTTTCTTTCTGTCTTTCTTTTTCTTTCTTGTCTTCTTTTTCTTTCTTTCTGTCTTTCTCTTTCTGTCTTTCTTATCATCTTTCATACTTGTCATCTTTCTTTCTCTCCTTCTTTCCTTCTTGCCATCTTTCTTGCTTTCTTGCCATCTTTCTTTTTCTTTCTTTCTTGCGTTCTTGCTTTCTTGCCATCTTTCTTTTTTGTCTTTTTTTTCTCTCTTTGTCTTTTTCTTTCTTTCTTTCTTTCTTTCTTTTTTCTTTCTTTTCCTTTCTTTCTTTCTTCTCTCCTTCTTTCCTTCTTGCCATCTTACTTTCTTTTTCTTTCTTGCCATCTTTCTTTCTTTCTTTCTTTCTTTCTTTCTTGCCATCTTTCTTTCTTCTTTGCCATCTTTCTTTCTTTCTTTCTTTCTTTCTTTTTTCCTGGCCTTCATTCTTTCTCCTTGCTTTCTTTCTATTGTGATATTGTGGGGAACAGAAAGGGGAGACAGAGGGGATGGGTTTTCTGACCATGTCTGCTGTATTTAGTTGATTGTTTTAATACCGAAAGAGTAGAAAAGTGCCTTTGGTTTCCTACAGTTGTGATATCCTGCTGATGATGTTGATAACTCAGCTTTCAGTCTGTTTCTTTTTTTTTTCTCGTTGCTTCGCTACAATAAGTAATACGTTTTATTAAAGCATCATTAAACATTAAGTAGAATAAATATTACAGCAGTAGTATATATGGACTGCTAATGGAAGATGAAGACACATGGCAGTCTATGAGCTGGAAAATTCCTGTAGTGGCTGGCTAGTATTTGCAGAATTTACTTCTTATTTAAGTGTTGTGACAAAACAGAAAAGGCTAGCTGTCTCACCACTGTTCAGCAGGTAGCCAGTCGTTGACCATTCAAACTTCAAAAATCCTTATTTGTTCTTTTTCTACTACTAATAAATACCCTGACTGTGCTGTACAGTGTGTTGCTGCAGTGGCATATGTTTGGATGACTCTTTATATAATGTGTGCCTAGTTGAAATTGTGCAGTATTTGCAAAGTTAACTTGCTTCATTCTTACGTTATGGACTCCAGTGTTAATAAGAATGTCTGTCTGTTTAATTCTAATGTGAAACAAATTCATTGTGTGTCTACAGTTCTCTCCAGCTGGTGACTTGATCTTCGAGGTCTACTTGGGAAAGAAAGAGCCAGAAAACTGCTGTTTAATCAAGGTGTGTGTGTGTGTGTAAGAGTGTGTTAAACCCGGGGCGATAACTGCCACCAACCAAATCAAAGAGGAGTTAATCAAAGAAGTGTCCCATTTAATTGTGTGAGTAATTGTGTTTTATCAGCAGTAGAGGAACGCTGCAGGTAATGCACTTACACAGGTGTGAAACCTCAGCAAACTGTGTATGTGTCTGCCATTTCCATCCTCTTTTTCTCAGCATATGATCCTTCATGTATTATGATACATTATGACATTGACGATGACGATTATATGATTATGACTTCTCTATATGTTAGGTCTCTCCAACCATGAGTTCCGATGAGCTGGCTGAAAGCACTCTAGAGTTGAAAGGCATAGAGGCAGACTTGCAGGAACTCTGGACCACATTTGAGGTCATCGAGAATGGAGAACTAGGTATGACTCATGTTTACACGTACTTACGGCCCAGAGCACACAGACCCTAACGTTCTCCAACTGACAAAGACAAATCCAAACGTTGAGTTGGTTTGTAGTTGTTGGGATTTTCTGGAATATTCCATGCATGCTGTCCTAGAATATTCTCCACTGATCTCACTGTTCTTGAATGTGCTTCTCCATTCTCACTCTTCTAGAATGTTCTACATTTTAGAACAGTGAGATAAGCTGTGATCGAAATGAATCGGTACAACCTTACCGTACGTTAGTATTGCACTATATAAATATGAACTATTAGGTTACTAAAGCGTCATGAAACGCATACATCAGTAATGTATTTCAGATACTTTATCGTAAACTTGTATCATTATTCACCCGTCACTTAAACAAATCAACATTAATTACTTAAATGAGGCTGAGATCGGCTTCTAATTTGAAGCCTTAAACACAGGCCTCAGTGTTTTGAAAAGTGCAGATGATGAATGGGGGAAAAATTACAACACTTGATAAGATAGACTATACATTTAATTCTTGGTTGGAGACTTACAACATGATGTATGCTATATGATGAGCAGCAGGTAGTCAAATGGTCTTTGTCATTCATCAATAAAACTTGTATAAATTGGAGTGAAATGTTCTCTTCCGGCTCCATGGTACAGTGCACAACAGCAGCACATTACACTGGACTAATTAAAGTGCAGATACATGGCAGTATTAAATGAATGCAGAATATACAACAAATACACATGACAAATACAAATAATGTTAACCAGACAGCACAATGAAACATTTTGCATGCATGGTTATCTCATATACACTAACCAGGCACTTAATTAAGAACACACCTTGTATCTACACACTTTTCAATTTTACTTACTATGTAGGTACACTTTGTAGTTACACAGTATTTATGCCTTGTTCTTCAAAGGTCAGGACCCTCACAGGACCACCACAGAGCAAGTATTATTTGGGTAGTGGACCATTTTCAGCACTGCAGTGACTCTGCCGTTGGGGGTTGCGTGTTTGTGTGTGTTATGCTGGTACAAGTGGATCAGACGCAGCAGTGCTGCTGGAGTTTTTAAACACCTCAGTGTCACTGCTGGGCTGAGAATAGTCCACCCATCGAAAATATCCAGTCATCAGCGTCTTGATGAAGGACTAGAGGAAGAGTAACACAAAATGTGCAGCAACACATGAGCTGTGGTCTCTGACTTCACATCTACGAGGTGAACCAACAAGGTGTGTCTAATAGAGTGGACAGTGAGTGGACACAGTGTTTCAAAACTCCAGCAGTAGTACTAGCTAGATCCACTCATACCAGCATACATGCCACCACCACGTCAGTGTCACTGCAGTGCTGAGAATGATCCAACACCCAAATAATACCCGCTCTGTGGTGGTTCTGACCATTAAAGAACAGGATAAAAGGGGGCTAACAAAGTATGCAGACAAATGGATGGACTACGGTATGAAATTGAAATCTAGAACTGCACCTATGTGGTAGGTGGAGCTGATAAAATGGACAGGGAGTGTAGATACAAGGCAGTGCACTTCAAGAGTTCATTTGTTAGAAAGGGTAAACACCATCCTTTAAAAAATAAGCTGATGGTCATGAGTTATTCTTCACACACAGCGCATTCTGAACCCTAAATATGTTTTCTCACAAAAGCCATTGTTGTTCAAGGCATTGCAAGTTCAGGTTTAATAGCAGAAAGAGTCAAATGCCAGCACTGTTCTCGAGCAGAACCAGATAAATCCGTTCAGCAAATCAGCATGCAGTATTCGAGTCAGGCAGAATCTCAAATGGCTCCTTTACAAAGTGCGCTACGTAGATCTTAAAATATTGGCTACTGCATCTAAACAGGGCACGCTGTGCACACATGGACATAAAGTGTAGTGTTTGGGTGTTAAAGCCAAAATTTTATAACTCAGAAAGTGCACTATATAGGGAGCAGTGAGTCATTTGAGATTCAGCCTTAGGATTTTCTGAGGTATGATCATTAATGGGCTGTTTTTGTTGTAATTTTAGGCACTTTACATAATTGTTTTACGTTAAAGAATGTCAAATATTGCACTTATAAGAAACTTTATCTATTAAATACCTTTGTTAAACTCTGAAACATGAAATAACTATTGGCGTTATTTACAAACTCTTTTTAAATCAAGTTTAATTGTGCAAGTTACCTGTATTCTGTTGAGTTGTTTGTACTTAATCAAAAGTAGTGAGACTTGCAGTGCACTTTGGTATATATTTAGCTGATGTAGTGATCTACGGTGTTCACTAGAAATTATAAGTGCATTGTGGGACATTGTAGTGATCTCAGAATAACTCTAAAATTGCATTCTGTGATACAGACACTAAAGCTGTGTCTGAAACTGCCCTATTCACTATATAGTGCACTATTTTGGGGTTCCTCCACTTTGTAGTGGTGTCTGAAAACAATATGCAGCAGATCCAATGCACTCAAACAATCCCACAGTGCACCACAATAAGTAGTGTCCAACTGATGTTTCCTAGCGGACAGGGGATATCCATAATGCACTGCGTTGTTTGTAATGAGCAAACCCGTATAACAGTGTCCAAAATCGTTTCACTGCCATCACAAATTTCAAATGTTAGGGTATAGAGATTAGGGGACTTTTTCAGACATGGCGTAAGAGACAAGTTGCTGATGTTTGTAGTGCCCTAAACGCAAAAAGGTCACAAAACTCACATTCATTGTTTTAGAATATTCTCCCTCATTTAGTTTTAGAATGTTCTCCCCATTCATACTGTTCTAAAATGTTCTCCTCTGTTCACACTGTTGTAGAATGTTCTCTCCCCATTCATGCTGTTCTAACCTGTTTTCCAAAATTCGCACTGTTCTAGAATGTACTCCATTCATGCTGTTCTAGTATGTTGTCCTTCATCCACATTGCACTAGAATGTTCCCTCATCATTCCCAGGGGTTTATTTGGCTTGTCAGTTATTTTTCTAGAACAGTATAAAGTCAACTGCCAACACTGGAATGTTGGTGCTTGTTGGGGAATGCTGGGTCACTGTGCTCTGGGCTTTAATAGAAGCAGGTCAGCATGTTACTGAGCCCAGTGAGATTTCAGTTTCTTTATGAACATCAAACCACTTAAAAGTCAATGGTGTTGGTTACAACCTTTTAAACTCTGAATAATCATTTGGCAGTGCCTTCATATCTCTAGCAGCTGTAGTGTTGCATTAAAAATGGCCATGTTATATACATGAGTGCTCAGCCTGTTTATTAGAATCATTTCCTCCTGGTTATGAAAAACTATTAACTGACTGTGATGGGATTGAAGCTGTGGGGGGAACAGAGGGGGAGTACACATGAGGCTTGCCAGTAGCGTGCACTGTGTTACCCCCTTTTGCAAATTAGGACTGGATAATAGATCTATTTTGCACTTGAGTGTGTTTTCTAATCAGGCTCAGATTGGCTGAGGATAATTGCAAATTTGCACTATGTAATTATGTGCACATGGAGGCCAGAAAAAAAAAACGCAGCATTTAATTTGTAATAGATTTTTTTTTTTTAAATGATGGAATTTGCTGATGACATTTAGGATTGGAGTTAACTGATGTAAGAATTGCCACAGTCGAGGAGATTAATTTTGTGGAAGATTGGAGTTAAATTGTTAAAGATGCCACCCACTGCTAATATCTTAGACCCAGATGCATTCATACACACATGAACACACACAAACACAAACCAAGCAAGCAGCACACACTTTGGAATGTTCGGTGGCTGTCTACTTTGTTGAGTGCCATAGTAAGGAATGAAGAAAAATAGTTCAAATGTGTTTCTGAAATCTGTAGTTGAAATTGATCTGTCCATGCGCCTCCCACTAATGCCTTCATCTGTAGCGACTGTTGCTAGGTTGGAACTTCACCCTAATAGGAAAGTGGACGATGAGCATTTTTGTCAAATTATCTGCCAGGTGATGTTTATTTTGTGTGTGTGAAAGGTCACATTATTAGGACAGATTTTTTGTTGTTTTTTTTTCATGTAATCTAGCTAACGATAGTGTGGTGGCAAATTTTCATTGCTGTTTCCAACCTGCCTACTTTTGTCAGTGTCTAGGAGAGTCAATGTTGTATTGCTCTAAACCAGGGTCTCCAACTTAAATTACATAGATACCAAATAAGGGGACATTTGATAGTCTTCTTTAAAGTGGGCCGGTTGAAAGTTTTCATTCATCATTTTACCTAACAAACTAAAATATGGGAAAAAAATGTATTTGAGCACATCTTGGTCTGTGTTTATTATTAACAATGCTTCTGTCACCACAAACTACTACTACTACTATTACTTCTACTACTATTACTACATCTACTACTACTGCTACTACTACTACTACTACTAATAATAATAATAATAATAATAATTAGTAATAGTAGGTGTGTATAAATAGATTAATATTTAAATAAATTATCAGAGAATTTTGTGGGACTCTTGTTGTGATAGCATTACCGGTCCTGACGAACAGCAGTGAAGGTATTGCGAATGTGGTTTCGTCAAAACAGGAGGTTAATTGTGCATTCTCAGTGTAGTTGTTTGATAATTCCATTCATTACTTAATTCTGACATGCTGTTTCTTCGCAATGAACAAATCCAGAAATGCAGATTTAACTATCAGTCCAAATTAGAATAATACCTAAGTTAGTTATAGGCAATATTATAACCATGCAATGTGCAGCGTTCATGCTGCGTCAGGTTTTCATTTGTTATATTTTGCACACAGCACATTTTTGCTTTTAACATATTAAGCTTCACCCTAAGCTGCTTTTATTTAGCCTATGTTAGGTACCCAGCTACAGTGTTGGATAAGTGAAGAAAGTTTAGCTGTCAGATTCTGTAAAACAGTTTCTTAGAGAGAATGGCTTTGTGGGTGGAGTCAGTTGCACTGTCTCTGTATCACTGGTGTTTTGTGTGTGTTTCAGAACGTCCATTACACTACAGAGAGAAGGTTCTGGAGCAGGTTTTAGAGTGGAATAATCTGGAGGACCCCAGCTCAGCTTTCGTGCTGATCAGAAAATTTCCTGTGTTCAAGATGTCCCATTGTAGTTCAGGTAGTGAACTCTGTACCTCTTCACTAGATAATCAAAGTCTCTCCTCAGGATCTCTTCTATAGATAATATTTCAAGACTGTAGGTTTTCACCACATATATTTACAGGTTTATTTCCATAGTTTCAGTCATCATTTCAACAATTTAATATTCTGTATATATATTCTATTCTATATATCTTTTCTGTAAGACCTTTTTTTATCCACTTTCCTCTTTTACCAGCGAATTGAATCATTCGGTACAATAAAGCAAGACTAATTTAGCAGTTGCTTACTGCTGCTCCTTCAACCATTCCAAACATTAGTAATAGCAGTCAGGAGAGCACCTTAGACTTTAATAGTCTATTATTGAACCAGCATATCATATGCAACCTTTTACCCACACAGAGTAATAGCTTCCCTTTCACACCTCACTAAATGATATTAATATCTATTAGTCATCTCACAGAGTGATTACTGCAGTAACTGTCACTCCCAAAGCTATTCAGACACGTGGGCTGTGCCCTTATCAGATCTTTTTTAATAGTCACGCTAATTTCAGGACTCTCACTTGAGAATGTGTCTTGGCTGATGTGTAAACTGCTCAATGCCACATCACCACTCTAATAATTACTCTTTATGATTATGTCTGCTGCTGTTTGTATGCGTGGGTCTTTGATGTATGTGTGTGTGTGTGTGTGTGTGTGTGTGTGTGTGTGTGTGTGTGTGTGTGTGTGATCTGTTAGAAGACCCGATGGACGTCGCTAAAGCCGAGCAGTTGAAGTTCAAAGATGGCTCCACCAAACTGCTTTCAGGTCACAAGTTTCAGGACAGATATCTAGTACTGCGGGACAAGAAGCTGCTACTCTACAAGGACTCAAAAGTATGGGTGAATCTTGTTTCTTTCTTTCTGTTTTTTTGTCTGTCTTTCCCTCTTTTGATTCCTACTCATATCTTCTAATCTCTGTTTCTTTCCTTCTTCTCAATCAACTTTATCTCAATCCCACAACACAAGCAGAGTGTACTAGTAAGACAGTCTATCGTTTTTCAGTGATTTTCTTTATTTCTTTCTTCCTTTCACATCTCTCTCTCTCTCTCTCTCCCTCTCTCTTTCTTTGCACACTTCTCTGCCCTTTATCTAAATCTTCCTTCCTTCCTTTGTCCCTTTTTCTTTTTTTCTTTCTTTCTTTCTTTCTTTCTTTTTCTTTGCACATTTCTCTTGTACCCCATTCCCTTATTCTTTCTTTGCACACTTCTCCTCCCTCTCTCTACTTATTTCTTCCTTCCTTCCTTCATCCCTTTTTTCTTTTTGTTTGTTTTTTCTTTTTCTTCTTCCTTCCTTTGCACATCTCCTCTCATTCTCTCTACGTTCCTTCTTTCTTTGCACACTTCTCCTCCCTCTCTCTACTTCTTTCTTCCTTACTTCATCCCTTATTTTTCTTTCATTCTTTTTCTCTTCCTTCCTTTGCACATATCCTCTCACTCTCTCTCTATATTCTTTCCTTCTTTGCACACTTCTCCTCCCTCTCTCTACTTCTTCCTTCCTTCATTCCTTCCTTTATCCCTTCCTTCCTTCATCTCTTTCTTTCTTTCTTTCTTTCTTTCTTTCTTTCTTTCTTTCTTTTCATTCCTTTGCACACCTCCTCTCACTGTCTCTATCTCTCTCTACATTCTTTCCTTCTTTGCACACTTGTCCCTCTCTCTACTTCTTCCTTCCTTCCTTCATCCCTTTCTTTCTTTCTTCATACATATTTTCTTTTTCCTTCTTTTTTTCCACACTTCTTTCTTTCTTTCTTTTTTCTTTGTTTCTTTCCAAATCTCCTCACTCTCTCTCTCTGTACTTCTGTCTCTCTTTAATTATCGCCTCTAACTCCAGTCCTACCCCATAACCAATCCGAGTGTTTTGGTGGAATATCTGAGTGATTCAGCCTATGGCAGTATTACAGCAGTAGCTCTGTCTGTGTTCTGTTTGATCACGATCAGTAGCTCCAGCAGTATCTTTGTTCACCTGCCGAGGCGCCACCACGGCTCTCTCACCGATTTTCACGCTTTAGTTTGGCTGTTCATGCCAATGGTGTTCGATTTCCTTTCAGATGAGCTAATGATTAAAAGACCGAGATAGGATGAAATTAGCCGCTCTGGGCCAATTGGATGGTCCACTTGCGATGCGTTGTGGAGGGGGAGATAATGCACCTGTTTCTGCATTTTGAGAAGTAAAGATGTGTAGAGCTCTTTCTTTCCCCTGGAATTAAAATGGTAATTAAAACAGTTCCGGTTTTGTAATTTGCGCTGTGTTGTTCTGCCTGCCTTTAAGACACGCATACGAGCGCATTTCTGCCTCCGGGACACACACACAGCTCAAGCTGACACACAGCCGCACCGTGCAAAAACAGTTCTGTATGTTAATAATTGATATTTGAAAGAAGTAAGCGCGTGTGCGGGGAGGAGGGTGAAGACACTTTAAACGTAGGCTGTTCTTTTCTTAATTAGTGTAATATGTGACTGTTTCAGAATGTTCTCCTAATTATCGAGTGAAGAAGATGGAAATCAGCTGTGAAGCAGAAATTTAATTGATATTCTGATGCCTTTGTTTTTCAAGTTTCCTTTTCTTGGGCAAGTGAGTGGGCAAAAGGTTTGTGTGAGAGAGAATCTCATTTTATCATTGCGCTCTTCTCTGGCTGCGCTGTGTTGTTCATTATGTGTGAAATGCATCCCTTCAAGGCAACATTACAGTCTTGTTGGCATATGCTAGTTTAAACAAGGCCCTTGGGCTTGGAACTGCTGTACACAGGATACTGGCGTTATTTTCCTCTTTTCAAAGAAATGAACGTGGGGAAATAAAAGAATATCATGGATAGTTCAGCTAAGCCGCTTACGTTCCGGCTGCAAGTCTGACTCAATTCCAGCACTTACAGTGATAGTTTGGGGAAAATGTGGCACAATATGATGGAGCCATTTCCGCTGTCATCTCCTCAAGCAAAGATGATGTTATTACCCACCAGATATAATCAACCAAGGGGGCTACAGCCATATTGAATTATGGAGAATTGTACAAAGGTACATTACTTATTTGCAGAGTTCATATGGCTTTATGTGGAGCACAAGTGTAGATGTGTTATGAATCATATTTTTGTGACTTTTCTGGGTCAAATTAGTGTCTTGATATTGTCACATGTAATCCCTTCCCCAGAGCACAAAGCCAGAGAGAGAGGTTCCTGTGGAGTCTGTGAAATGCTATCTAGGCCTGAGAAAAAAGCTGAAACCAGCAAGCAGGTAAGGATTCTTCTTATTCTTATTTCTTATTTATTTTGTCTGTAGGAAATTATATAGTTAAACATATATTTGGACATCACTAGTGATTACTGAAAAACTACAGACACATTTGCTTTTGGACAAAGCCTGTTTCCTACCAATCCAGACTCGCCACTATACTCTGTAATACAATACCAAAATGTAATCTGTATCTTCTACTGAACACTAGAAAGGCCATAGTGGTCACTGTGAAATTTACATGCCTCTTTCTACCTCAACAGAGAATTATATTAAAAATAAATGTCTGGATGACTAATTTAAATCAAGACTTTTGAAAGTCATTCATAAATGAATCTATAAGCACCAGTACTAGTACTATTACAGAGACCGTGCAACTCTGAAATCTTAGCTTATCTGTTTAGTCACCATGACAACTTCAGTTAGAACTGAATTAGGATGGTAGCTATTACAGAACAGAAGTTCTTAAGTTCATAATCCTAGCTACCCTACAGTGGAAGAACTGCTAAAAGCCCAGTCAAATTGATGGTCACAGGAAATTTGATGAAATGTTCATATAAACGACTTAAAATTCTAAAACTAACTGCTATTCAAAAAACTAGCAAATATATATTATATAGATCTTTTTCTATAGTTTAGTTTAGTATTTTGTGTAGTCTAAATGAAGTTTATTCAGAACAGATCGTTTTGCTGCAAATTGTGCATTGTGTGGGCTGATGCAGGGCTAGAACCTAACTGAACATAATCAGTTGAATGCAGGGCACATTCAACGCTGCTGCCAGTGCGAGAAACATCACTTTTTTTTCCTGCATTCCTCAGATGAGGCCTAATCATCTTGGGCACCTCACTGTGTCCAGTTGCTGATGAAGTGTTTGCGTCTCATCGTTGTCTGGATTTAGTGCTCTGATTTGTTACTGTTTTATTCTCTTCTGGATTGTACTTTGCAAACTATTTGCCAATTCTTTGCCAGATATTCTGTAAATTAAATCAGATAAAGTGAGTAGGCTCCTGAATCACCGCTGCTAAAATAACGTCTAACCTGCTTGCAGAGGTGAAAATGCAATTTAATGTGTAGAAGCTGCAAATGGCCTTACAAGGTAGAAACACTAAGATTAGTATTATATTTTTTTTACTAAATATGCAATAATTTGGTAAACAGTGGATATGGGGATTTTAATTTGATCAAAACAATCCCATCTCAAAATTTTGAAACAAATTGGCCATTTTGGCCTTTCTAGTATTAAAGATCTGTTTTTAGATGCACATGGAACTCAGAAGGGTCAAAGTAAAACAGATAGTCAGAACTGATTTCGCCACTCCGAGAGACATATTAATATATCTGAGAGTTATTAAGATCGATTCGCAATTATTTTTGTGTTATCCTCTGTCCTCGTTAATATCACTTGGTGCCTACTGCTGTCTCAGGCTCTTGTGCCAAAGATGCATGGCCCTCTCAGCTTAGTTCAAGTCCCTATCTCAGAGAAAGGCTTTAAAGGTTTCCCTAAAACCACATTTATATCTCACAATAACAGAATTGATTAAACGTAATTGGGTTTTAACAAATACAAATTATCCATTTTGTCCTCTCCCCCTGGGAACACGGCAGCAGTAGATTTGTTTTATTTTAATCATTTTCAGAGCAGATCAGAACATTTTACCAGTTATCATTTTAATCAATTTCTCTGAATGCGAGTGTAACAAAAACCCGATAACTATGTGTCTGGAATTATAATGCACGTTTCACATTCAAATGGGATGAGAGAGAGATGGATGGGAGTGTACAGAGATGGGAGAGATTAAGGAAAAAATCGATCCAAGGCATTGAGCACAGTGCTGGGAGAAGGAGAAAGAGAGGTGAGAGAGGGAGCGACAGGGCTGAACATGTAGTCACTGGGTGTTTTCAGACAGCAATGTTTTCTTTTTTTACTAGTGCAGGAATGAAGGTTGTATGATGTGATAAGACTGAAAAGCTTGTGAGAATGTGATACTAAAGGAGCGTTGTCCGTAACAGCCAGTCATCTCAGTGAAAGAAACAGATAAAGTGCTGGTGAATAGACGGAGACAGAAGAAAGCATAGGTTGGCCTTGAGCCATTTATAATGTTTTTCCTATTTTGCTTTTTACAATCCCAGCTAAATCCGTGAGCGTAGCACAGGTTTTGAATGTCATAACAGCGGTAATATGTGGAAAGAGTCTTGTATCACCCCCCATCATTATAAATTGTGATGTAGCTGTATTTTGTTTGTGGGTTGGTTCTGTAACTCTGTCTTCTTGGGTTTTATGTCAGGTTTTTTGTCACGAGGCAAAGAAGATTAAGACAGTCAAAACTAGAACTTCTACCACCATTCTTGTTCACCATTCTGTATTTGGCCCAGTTTTTAGGGGTACATAGTTCAGAGCAACCAAACTCCCTCCTTGCCCTGTCCAGGGGTTTTGAGGATGCAGAGTACTGTTATACACAGCCTTTCGTGTACAGTTTGGATCCATTAGTATCATGCGCTGAACTATTGCCAGAGAGCAAAGAGCAGGGAGGCCTTCCCTTAGCCCCAGCTTTTATTCCACCCACCAGCTCTTTAAACTGCATTTAGGTCTTATTTAGTCCGCTGTGGAGGAAGCTAAGCTGAATTTTATGGTTGCTTAGCGCTTTAGCAATCCTCTGGGGGTCGCGTTCTGCGACTGTTGGAAAGAGTTGAGAATAGACTTAAATCGATATGGGGTCCTTGGTGAAATGCTGGGAGGCTAAAGGTTTGTTTGCTTTTTTCCCAATCTCTCTCTTTCTCTTTTTTTCTCTCTCAACAGTTGGGGCTTTACTGTTTACACTCAAAAACAGCAATGGTAAGACCAGTTCATTTTGGCGTAATTGCATACGTTTTTAAGGCCTAGCACGTAGGAGGCATTCGTCTTTTTAATAAGATGCAAAATGCTACAGCAATGAAGTTCAATTTTGACCTTGTATTCCCCTAATAAGGTATTTCTGCTGTGAAGGAAAAGATTCTCAGCTGGACTGGGTTATTTCCATTATCAGAAGCAAGGTGAGCTCGCTTACATTGTCACTGTGTGAATGGGTAATTAAAGTGCAATAACTGTGTTTCTGTGCCGATTACTAATAACACAAACAGATGTTTTGTTCTTACATTTCCTAATTACATTTCTCCTTCGGAGAAAAGTATGTTTACTCTCTTTAACGCCTTGCAGGCTAAAATTGCTCATCAGCTAAGCAGTTTCCTTTCCTTGCAAAAATATAGAGGGGGAAAAAAAGGGATAGCTACGTGAATAAGGGGAAAGTTTTCGAGGTCATTCTCTGCCAGCATAAATCACATTATCCGGAAAAGTCTTTTAGCAGAAATAAGGTCATGTAGACTGCCACAATCACACTGGTTCCATCACCCTGTTCTCAGCAGCTGAGTGCAGCTACAGACCAAAGGCCTGAGTCAGCTCACCATGCATTAATAATAGAAACGGAGGGCATGCATTGGCGGGGAGGCTAGCAATGATTTAGACATTGTCTAGATCCCCCCTCCCACACCCTTCCTCCTCCTTCTCTGGCCAAATGCTTCTGCCTTATCTGCCTCCCTCAGGTCTCGTACTTTATTGTGAGCTTTTGTCCTTCTTTTTGTGGGTTTGTTCCGATCTGGCGATACAGCTTTAAAAAATAAAGAGCTCTGAATAGTTTTTATTGGAAATCTCTTAAGTGTAGGCCAGGCTTCTGCAAACTGAGAAAGCAAGAGAGAAAGAGAGAGGCAGACAGAAACTCAGAGGAAGACAAATGTGTTTGAAGCTCTTTAGGTACTTTTATAAGCATGTTGTAGCAAATCTTTCTTTCTGTAGGCAGCGAGTGCTGGAGACAACCCTGCAAGTAGACTAATTGATACCCTCAGACTGAGGCTCTTTCACATTCTTCTTCTATCTTTTTAACCACCACTCTCTGAGGCGTGGTTTCCATAGAAACTGCTGAGGAACAATGTAGAGGTAAAGGTACAGGTAGATGAGCCCTTTTCTGCTGCTAAAACGAGGATGTATATACCAGGAACAGGTTCAGAGGCCACAGAGTCGCAGGGAAAAGTACAAGCTGTCTTAGCAAGCAAAAAGAGGACGTTCCGGTTGCTCAGGTACTGGTGCAAAATGTTCCAGTACATTTGTTCCTACATCATTAAGGTCTTAAAGTTGCTTTTCATTAGAGCTAAGATTTGAGTTCTAGTGTGTGTAAGGCTGTAGAGGAGTTTGTCAAACTGTGCTTGTTTTGACGCTCTCTGTCTCAAGTTTTCTGACATGGAACAGTTTGCTTGAGCTTTTACACTCGACGCAGAAGAAACACTGAGCCGTTTTGTATTTTCTCTGCTCTAACATACCTAGTTTGAGAGAGACTTTATATTTAACAAATAACAGTAACTAACTTTAAAAACTTTAGAAACCAGAGAGCCCACCAGTACTGGCATTTGACACCCTTGTCTAATGGAATGCTTAATTAAAAATGATAGTTTAACTAACAGGTAAGGAAGGTTAGAGGGACCAGTTAGTATTATTTTATGTATATACCCAGTATATATATGCTAGTCACCCCCCTGTATTATCTTTTACTGTTTATCATCCATGTCAAATGTTACATGGTAACCTGTTTCATTTCTATAAAATGTATGTCCTGTACAAAAGTCAGAGACCACCCTTCATTTATTTCATTTTCACTCAAAAAAGCCGTTAAGTACAAGTAATTATTTGCACAGTACTGTTTGAAAATGAAGTGCACTGTAATACTTAGATGTTATCTAATGACAACTAACTCATTCTAGCATTCAGATATTATTAGCAACGTGCACAGAAGTGTTGTAAATGTTAAGATTCACATGCCAAGAGAATATCCTTTTTCATATTCATTTTTGTATATGCATTTGTATCTTGGTCTTTTATCATACTGCAGTATATCTTTTGATGTATTTGTTTGTATAGCATGGAGGAGACTTCTGGCCTAAATTCAAAAACAGGAGCAAGCATTCAGTTCATCAGAGCAGTAGAGAGCATGGTTTTACTCACCGGGGCTTAGAGAATGCAACAAGAAGACAAAGCAAGGAGGTCAGTATCAAAGCACTCCATACTGACTCTAAAACTTATTTCCTTTCTTATGTTTTTGAGAAAAAAATTCAGTGCTCAAATAGTGAACATTCATCAAATCGTTCTCCCCTTCCTCCAAAGTAGGGTTTCCACTTGTAACTACAAAATGTGACCGTACAAGTCAAAGAAACCAAAGGTGACCATAGCCATCTCTTAATTTTCTTCCACAGGATAACAGGATGATGCCCAGGAATGTTACTTTCAAGACCGAGAACTCGGATGAAGCTAATGATAAGTATAAAATTGCTGGGCTAGAGAGCCATTTAAAGTATAAAGACCTAAAAGGGGACTCCAGAGTGGCCACAACTGGAGGAAACTACCCCCTCCCAAGAGACAGAATGGCCTATGATAGACCTCCCCAAATTGAGCATGTACCCTCGCACCCAGACACAGGTAATCACACCAAACCTCCACAAAAGAAAGCTATGCTTGCCTATGCTCCAGGACAGATGCCACAGAATCTTCTCAACGAACTGAGCACTGTCCTTAACCAGGCAGGACGCATTCCCAAGGAAGAAAGCTGAGAGGATTTAAAAAGAAATCCTTGCTTGTACTTCCACAAGGCAAAGTGGAGGTCAAAAGTGCAAAATGACTCTCAGATCTCAGACGGACAAAATAAATCTGTAAATAATTAAATATTTATATCTTGCATGCTCTGAGTGGCTAAAACCAAAGCATTTCTCTCTCTGACTTTAACCAGCCTCAAGAAAACATTTCACAGTGGCCAGCAGGCCAGTCTAGTGGTACATTGCTGTTGTGATGGCAGTGAAAGTGGCTGTGTGTATTGTCCAAGGGGCTCTCACACTGATTTATAGGTCAGTCGTCAAATGTAGCAATATGTGGATGTATATGCCGCTGATGTCACATTTATTAAATGGTCTTGTTTCTGAGGAACATGTAATATAACTAAAAAATAAAATCAGTATTACCTACAGACAAGGCTTTGCTACTTTTAGACATGCAGATATAAGGCAACTATTGACATAATGCTGGCTTTTCTCTGCTTAAATTGGGGTCTAGTTGAGGTCAGTTCAGACACTACTTTGATGATCTAAAACCATTGACCGGTTCAGAGTTTGTTATATTTTAATACATAGAGTATTTAGAAAGGAAGTGGCCTTTTCATAAAGGGAAAATGCTTTCCCTTTTCCCATTTCTGCTGGTATTAATGTTTCCTTAACCTATTTTTCCATCAAAAGAAGTATGTTTTATCATAATGTGTTACAATAAGCAGAATCCCAAGTCATCCAAAGCCACTGAATGATGAATGTTCATTTGAGATGGTACACATGAGCTTTTGTTGCCCAGTTTACTTTAAATATTTATCATCAGCATTTTATGTAGATGATGCATCATTTAGCTGCTGCCTGTGTTTCATGTTCTTTTAAAATATTCTAATCATGTACTTACAGCTGTTGTCAAAACCTGTAATGTATTGTAAGACTCTGTGAGATTGTATAAATAAATTAAGCTATAAATTAGTCGTAACATGTTTCTTTTGCCATTTTGGGCTGTTCTGAGGGTTTCAGTGTTCTTTTTCGTATGAAATTGACATTTTTACATGACTAATTACGGTTGAATCAGCACCAATACTAGATTGATATCTGCAGCGATACTGACACTTACATGCAATATCAGCATTGGAAATAGACAATACTGATACCATGAAGCAATTTCTGACATGCACCTGTGCTGCTATGGGTGTGGGTTGACAAGCAGCAGTAAAAATGCTCATGCTAAAATCTGCATTAGCCCCTTACCTAAATGGCTGAGTCAGACTTCTTTCAATAATCCCCCATCTTCCATTGTTCGGTTGTTTACAGCCTGAGTTAATATTAGTCCAGGTTCTTATTGACAGGGTGAACATTAGAGAGACATATGAAAGGAACGGCCAGTCTCTTAGGGTAACAGTAGTGTTTAGCCTTGATTTATCCTTTAGCATAGCAGCCCACTAGCCCTGCCCACAGAGCGTCTCGCATCAGTTTTGACAACAGCGTGGTCTCACGGCCTGGTGCTCCCATCAGACCGAGAAATCCGCTGAAAAGAGCTGGTACTGATAGATTCTGGTACTGATGACTGTAATATGCACAAACTCCAGCAGAAGCTGACACTTGTAGATGTACGTGTGAGTGAACATGATGCATGTATAAGCAAATGACTTGAGAAATTCATATAAAAAAGCAACATTAAGCACTGTTTTTGCTGAGCCAGACAAGCTGAAGCGTGCTTACATGGACGCACCACAGGTTTATCTGTATATTGTTCAGTTCTATTTTAATTCTTTTGCACAATAAAAAAATTTACATTTACTTTGGTCTTTGTTATGTCTTTATAAAAAATGTTTCTTATTATATGTTATATTTTTGTAAAGACTGATATATTGAATACATATAGGTAACAAGCAAAAATAGATTTTTTTAAGCTTCTAATATATATACAGGACTTAATGGGCTAGTTACATTCAGTAGAGTTTGTATTGATAGCTCTTTGCATCCTTAACCATGATTATTATGCTTATACTACGCATAGTTTTTTTTGCCCCTCATCATATAAAACACTAGTGCTTTCACTCAGCAACGTCATGTTTACACTGAAGGATCTGCTGTATTATAAGTTTTATGTGTAATTTTGTGTTCAGTATTATGTGTTATATATGTGAGGTGTGTTATCAGTGTACGTTTTATGTGAGCTGTACCTGAGAGGACAATAGGAGGACATTGTGAACAGTTATTCCTGGCTGTCTATGTGTAGGTTAAGCTGTTGCTTCTGTACCTAATTTGGCAATGGACCAGGCAACAATGTGCCTGGGTCTATATAAACACGGCCATTTTGTATGTCGAGCGGGTCAGCATGGCGTCTGTAAACCGTGCGCATAAAAAAGAAATAAAGATCCATGCAACAGACGCAAAGCTGGTCTCCTGATCCGGGTTCTAATTAAGAAAGAGAGATCTAAAAATTCTACAACATGAATGGTAACTCTATAGCCTCCTTACCTGAATGATAGCTTTCAGCCATGTTTGCTTTTACTCTCCATTGTCTGCGTTCATGAGAATATCTAGCAGAGCAGGAGGTATTATTCTTAGACACGCTTTACAGGCCCTGATCAGCCAGAAAGGTTTGTGTGACACACCTGTGCCATTTCCCTCGTTAACTTCTTTTGTTAGAATTAATTAGCATAGTTATAAATGACAACCTGGAGACTCTGACACCTCAAGCACAGCCAGATGTCGCGATTTTCAAAGTACAAAGAAACATGTCACTTTTGTGCTTCTGTCACTCAAATGTGTTTGTGTGTAAGGAAGCGAGACTGTAATATATGAACATGTGAGCACTATGTGTGTGTGTGAGTGTGTAAAGAAGAAAAACTGTATGAACATGTAAGCAGTGTGTGTAGTTCTTGGCTGTTAACGCTCGACTCCTTTGCTGCACGGTGTTTTGCATATTCTGCAGCTATTTTCCTCCTTTGAAGGTTACCATATGGCAAGAGTTAAGCAAGTGAGAGAGCTGATATAATTAAAGGTGTTACACACCCCACACTGACTTTGGCACTATGAAGGAGGTTGCAACAGTAGCTCGGTGAGACACCTACATGTTCATGTGCAGCGTACACGTGTGCTCCTGTCACAAGTAAACGTACTGATCTGAAGGTGAGGTTCGATATTAGAATCAAATAGAATTGATGATAATGCTGTTTAATGACGTGTGCGTTCTTTTTTGGCCATAAAAATTCTCAGGCCATTTTCAAACTTTAATTTTGAAAATTAATCTAATAATTAATTAATTATTAAATTTGAAAATAATTATAATTTTCAATAAAAAACTTTGTTGTATGGTTGGTGTATGGTTTTGCATTTTGTATTTGCTGTAATGTCAGTATTGTAATACTGTGAACATGGTTACATACAGGGGTGGATTTAATTCTTCCTAAAATATTTTTCTATCGCATTTTCACATTGAAACACACCTTAGATATCCTTATCATTCATAAATGTTTATAATCGATCAATAAATGTTTAAATCCACTGCATTTCCTGCATTAAAAATAGTAGTACTTCACTGTTTTTTCGTAGAAGCTTGACTTTACCTTACATCAGGGAACTCCGAAAGAACAAAAACTCTCAAATTCTTTGTGACTGATTGCTGCAAATAAATCTAGGTCTCTGTCCAGACTATATTATCATTACAGGCCTTATTAATGCTTTGATTAAACACTGGGGATTCCCTCATACAAAAATGCTTTATTTGAAACCTAAACCTCCTTAAATCTATTCAACATTATTTTTCTTAAATACAGATGAAATCTTTTATATGCAAGAATATTTACTAAGAACAGTCTGGAAAATGGAACAAAATCTAGCTCTTTGAATGTTTAAAAGCATCACAGAATTTGTTCAGAAGCAAAGCGAGACATTCTAAAACATTAAGCTAAGAACACCATAGAAAAACACCTCCTAAAAGTTAATGGCACTTTTGGTTAAAACTACTGTTAACTAGCAAAATAACACTCAAGAATCCAAACAAGCTTTCCAACAAGACACAGACTACACAGCAAATCATCAAAACAACTACTGCTCCAGAAATAAGAAACTGCCTCTTTCTTTATGTGATCTAGACTGTCAAAAATGTTCTTGGTCCAGTTACTTTTACATTAGAGACATTTATGTTTAGATATGTAACTCTATGAATGGCTGACATAAGCAGGCTGGCTGGGTATCAGCCATTATGCTATCTTATGTTAACATGCTAAAATACAGTGGACATTTTAACTTAAGCCCACTGACTGAAATTTTCAGTGGTAAACACACACATTAGATAATATTGATTGCATCAAGTAGATTACATGTCCAAACAAATGCCTCCGAGGTTTGAAGAAAATTAGAAAGCCAAGCAGCACTTTTATGACTGATTGTGATGTTTCTTGGCTGGTTATACTGCCAGTAATTTTCTGTCTGAGCCTGAGACGACCCAATCCACATAGTCAAGTTTTGTATACAAAACCAACCCAAGCCTGATAAAATCTGTCTGAACCAGATCAGCCCTAACCACATCATCGAGTTGAATCCAAAACTGACCGAAGCTCCAGAACATTGTTTGATCCAATCCAGCTCATCATCTCCCAAAGCCAAACAAAACCTGATATTTCTGTAGCGTCAATTAAATCAGTTGTAAACGAGTAAATTAGTGAGTAGACAAAATAAAAACACAACTTATTCAACACAGAACAAATTAATTAGATATAAACATCCTTTTGGCTGCACTAAACTGAAGTCTCCTGACTCAATTTGCTGTGTTATTTTTCATGCATCCATTTTCTCATAAGTGAGGGCCTCATGGACTTTGGTGCGAAATTTCTATCAACAACACAAATGGATTATAAGATGTTTTAAGGTCTTGAAAGTAGCGGTACGAATAACTAAAAAACTAAAGCAGGGGGGAATGTAGGGTTAAATCTCGGGGAGGCAGTCTGTGAGAACCCAAACATAAAGTTTGAACCTGACCCAAGTCTGATGCATATTTTGGAAATGACATCTGAACCAGACATGAGCAGTTGGGTCCCATCAAGTCTGGTACAGACTTGTGTTTGTGCATTTTTTTGAAATAATACTGAACCATACTGAAAAAAATCTAATCAAATCAAGTGTGTGAAATTTGAAGTGATTTTCTAAAGAATTGTAATTGGTGCAAATCATTGCAAGGTCAAATATGTAAGTTGAACATGACAAATTGAAAAATACCCTGTTTTTGGCCAAGGAACGTCACAAGTACTACTACTGAGCAACTCTGGCTTGGAGCTGGACTCAAACAATGTTAGCCAGTGTTTTACTTGAATTAATTTGCTATTTTAATGTATGAAATGAAACAGACCTTGTCCAAAATGTGTAGATAATTCTTTCCATATCCTTCACAATATTGCTACATCAGTGTTGTGTAGTCACCCAGGTTTCCTGGGCCAGCCTTACCATAGATGAGGCATACAAGCCAAGACTCATAGAACAAAACTAGGCCTTTAAAAAAACACCACCTCAGAAAACTCAATTTAAAAAAAAAAAAAGAGATGAAGCCAATATGATTCAAACATTTGCTCATAAAAGATGCAGTGTGTCTCTGTAAGCTATTATTTCTGCAAGTCTTGTGTTTGATCAAGCACAGGCCAATTCACCTTTTTTTTGGGACAGAAAAAAAGAAAGACAAGTCTCAGCCACCCAAGCCACTGAGTAATTGACACGTCTTCTGAACTCATCATTTATTGATCTCCTTCAGCTGATTCTGCACATATTGGAGGAGTCTACCAAATTAACTGTAAATAAAGAGGTGATAAAGAGGCGAAAAGGGCCTAAGAGGAAGCTTTGAGTGTTAAAGAATGTGAATGTTGACCCCAAAAGCTTAATGAAACCTTTATAAGCTTATCTTAGTATGCTATAATATATAATAACTACTCCATATTCTTTTGTTTTCCTTTGGTGGTTGTTTGTGTATACGT